TTTCTTTTTCAATATTAAATTTTTTCTTCAATTTCACTCTTTGTGGTCATATAGATAGTACTAGACGATAAATCCGTTCCTAAATCTAACACCAATTGATCCTAACCGGGTCACTTTTGAGCACTTTAACCTCCCAAACCCCAAGCGGTCACATGCGACCGCGGTCATATTCCGTCAAATCCCTAGCGGTCTCATGAGACCGCACTCACCCACAGCACTTTAACCCATAAAAACTTATATTTACAGACTACTTTTCTATGAAGAAGCTTGGCATTATAGGCTCAATGTGAAATTTCCTATTCTCTAATGCGATAAAAAGTAGTTAGTTTATGGTTTTTTATTTATATTCTACGCTCAATTCGTACGCCTATTTCGTGTGGCGTGTTATTGTGTTGATTTTTGGATTTTTCTAATGTTTTATTAGTGTTTAGTATAGTTTAACAATTTTATTATAAAACATATAATAAAATTGTTATAAAAGTTTTTGTGTGAATATAATTTATCTTTTTACGTGAATATATTTCGAGTTATATATATAGAAATAATTGTGATATTCAAGCTGCCGTTCTGTGCTGGGTACATACATTTTTTAACTATGAAAATACAATTAAAATCTATTTGTAATGAAGTAAAAGCATTAAAACAAGTAATATAACATAATAAATAAACAGAAACAAGTATTATTTTGAAATTTATAATGAATATTATTGTAAATAAATTTACGGCAAATTCAAGGTTAGGTTATTTTTAGCTACGCCGCGTCACGAGCGTAGCGAGCGAGCGATGTTAATCATTTTAGCTGGTGGCTGAGGGGTTAAGAACGAGCAGCACTAGGTACTTTCAATGTAAGGATTATGGTTAGTGAATACAAAGAACTTGAGTAGCTATAAAAATACTATACCATCCAACCAGCGAACTCAGCTACAAAGCTGTGTGTTGTATTTATCAAGATTGAATGCTGCTTCCTCTGAAGTAGTTTACTTACAATAGAACTACAAGAGTGATAAAGAACTTAACATTTTTTTCTACAATTTTAGCAGCAGCAAGCAAAGCACAAAAACTTTCGCTTATTAAGGTTTGGTTAGTATAAAAAAATAATGACAATTTTAGTACAATTCTACTGAATTGTATTAAAATTATGTTTATGTGTTTTCAACATATTGTGCAGGGTAATTTCTACATGAGTAGAATACTACTAACTAACGACATCTGGTGACCGTAAGATCATTAGCCCTCATTGGTCCCTTACGTTGTATAGGCGAACGGTATCAAGATCGGGCCGCAGCACTCGACGGGGGGCGGGACGAGCGGCGCGGGGGGAGCGGGCACGGGCGGCGCGGCCGGCGGCGGCTGCTGTTAGGTGCTGCGCTGCACACACTGAGGCGGACGGACCGGCCCCTAGTACGGCCGCGAGGTAACTCCTGCTATTTCGCTGCTGAGTTTATTGGTACGACGGAAGTCAAAGGTTGTTCCTATGTTTGGTGTACTAATATGACTTTTATGGAATTGAAGCGGGAAAAATATGATACAGTTAGAATTAGTTTATCATTTAATATTTTATAATGTTTATAATCAAAGAAGAGAATCATAAGTAGTTAACTAATAAGTAATAATGAAGACTCATTCTTTCTATAATGCAACATCTGAGGGGGGGGGGAAGAGAGAAAGCTATGGAAGCGGCGGATGCAGTGTCAAACACGAATCCATTCACAATGCAACCAGACCAGAAAAAAACAATTCAGGGGTCTAATAACAAAGGCGGCAAAGTCCCATATTATATGGGACTTTGCCGCCTTTGTTATTAGACCCCTAAATTTATGTTTTTGTCACAAACTGACCAAAATATAACCTAGAATTGAACCTTTAAAACTTTCGGAAATAATACGAATCCTTTGTTTCCCTAAGCTCTCAGTCTTCCTTGTTACCGAATTATCCTTTAAAGCTATTTTGGTAAAACGAGAACTCAAGAAAAGTAACCGAGAAAAGGTAAATAAAAGACGAAGTGCGTCTCGGTTTGACTTTTGCAATATAAGCGCGTTTCGCAGATGTCACGGCGCATAGCATATAAGAGTGTATATACGGAAATAGCTAAGAATCTCAAACTTAAAATTTGCCGCGACAACAGCGCCGCCTGGAAGCTAGTTTATTAACTATTACTAAAACTATACATAATTATAGATATCATATATACCTCTTCTGTATACGTACTAATGGTGGTTAATATAGCGCATAGCGCCATATTATAGCGCGCTATCTCTCCATAACACATAGCGCATGCTATGTAAGTAGTCGCCATGGCGCTATTGCGCTATGGCGCTTTGGCGCTATTATAGTTCGGCCGTTGAGAGAATGCGTTCCTGACACCTATCAGTTAGTCACGACTAGTGATGGGCACAACATAACACTGAGTTCGTTACCGTTCCTCCAAAATGAACCGCCGCGTTATTTTTAAGATTATTTTCGTTTTAAATTGGCGGAATCATTTAAAATTTATATTTTAGTAATTTAAATGGAAACCAAAAAAAGGTAATATTAATATAATAAAATTGTTTTATTTATTCTTTGTTACAAAGTTTCAATCTGTATTTCTGGGGGGGGGGTTTTTTTTTTTTTCTTCTTCTTTTTTTTTTTTTTATAATATTCCTTTTTTTTAAAATCTTTTTCCCTTTTTTTTTTTTTTTTTTTTTTTTTTGTGGGGGGGGGGGGTGGGGGGGGTTTTTTTGTTGGGTTGTTTTTTTTCTTTTTCTTTTTTTTTTTTTGTTTTTTTTCTAACCTTTTTTTTTTTTTTTTTTTTGTTTGGGTTTTGGTTTTTTTGTTTTGGATTAAAAGTGCTGTAGTGGCATTCATTTCCTCGTGGTAGTCATTTGTGGTTTTTGATTGAAATGCCAGTAATGCGTTCTCCACAAAGCCGTATTTTGCAGAACCTGCGTGGCATGGTACGTGGTACGTACGTGCAATGGTACTTTCGACGTCGACGCTTGTGTATCATCCGTCCAAGAACGGGAAACTTATCCATTTTAAAATTATGTCGTATCGTTCTAATAAAAATTTTCTTTCGTCTGTTTTTTATACGAAAAACCAATATCTTTTAAGATTTTGGTTAAAGCAGTTTTACCCCCGCTAAACAGTCCAGCTTCTCTTAACGATGCCAAAAGCTTCTTCCTGTTGAGATATTCATTTTTGGAATAGTAACCATATATATGATTTCTGATTGCATCGGCGTCAAAGCTGTCAATATCTGTCACGGGGTTAGTTCTACGTTTCTTCTTCGGAGTACGTAAAATATTATCTTCCGTGCCAGTAGAGCCGAACTTTTCTTTATTAATATTTGTTATCGTTTGTTTGCTAACTCCAAGCGCCTGAGAGACGCGTTCTTGTACTTGTTCGACAGGTAACAGGTGGTCCGCCATTTTGCCGCTCCCGCTCAAAGTAATCTTGCAGCTTGATGATTAACTCACGGGCTCCACTTTTCAATGTTTGTCCACGTTTTAGGCATTATTATGCACCAAAAGTAAAAAGAACGCAATACAAAACACAATCGAAATCCGATTTAGCGCCGATGTCAGTTTGAAAAGCAGAAACAGTCCATTAAACGAAAGCCGGGTAATCATATAAAAACAGATCGAAAACACTTGAAGAATGTGGTCTATGCGCACGAAACGACAACAGACGACTGTTTTAGCGTCACAAAATGGCGGCCCATAATGCCATTTGGGGTTACCATTTTCAACCTAAATATAAAAATGCTACTTTCTTTCGCGCGTTCTGTTTGGTCGTAGTTTTATTTTTATATTTAATAAAAGTTATCTTATAGTCCATTATTTTCAAATTCTTAAAAAGAAAAACAAAACGTATTATTTTATAAAGTATAACTGTATAAGAACAGATTACGATACTGTTATTGCCTGTTATTGTTAGCACAGCACTACAAATATGAAGCGCTGACATAACCTTGTAATAGCGCAGTATAGATTTAGAAAAATATTGTTTACCAAGTTATTTGACACTCAGTTTGGCACAAAATTGTAACATTCATTGATTATTGATATAATAATGTTGTTTTAATGCTCATCAACTGTTAAAACTGTAAACAACCAGCAAAAATATTTTTATCGTAACTGCAACGCCATTACAAAGTTACGTCGTCAGTTCAATCGCGACGTGTCAGGAACGCATTCTCTGAACGGTCGAACTATAAGTATTAATATCTAGCGGCAACTAGTTCTAGCAGCAGCGCTGTTGGGAGAGGACGTGTGACGCAAATTTGATATAGTAGCACGCTATTCATCGCGCGCGACCTAATTTAGTGTTAGGCGTTGTTTAGTTAGTGTATACGGTATATTTATAAGTAATCGAAGGACACAGTTGTCCGCTATAAAAGAAGCCTAATGTTTTTAAATGTAAATAAAATATAGACATAAACGTGTATATAATAGTGTATGTAAATTGTAAAATGTTGATTTTTATAAATACAATTCACAAACTTTTAAATACACCTTTATTTGATTTATAATTTATATTAAGGCTAAAATAACGTTTACATCAATTATAATAAAAAATAATATATTTTTTTTAAATTACATGCTTAACACACAACGCCAAAGGCCATTTGATCGAATGTCATGGACATGTTAAAATTTTTTTATTGTAAAAATGGCTTCTACTGGTCACAAAATATGCACTGTTTTTTTTTAATCGTTTTATTTACCCCCCTTTTTAGGTGTATACTTTAAGATACAGCGGCCTGGGAATTAATCCTAGACGAAATTTACGTTCCCAGGCCAGGTGTATCTTAAATGATACACCACATGATTTTGTAAAAATACTCATACCTCACTAAGTATCTATTATTTCCTTTTTGTGTCAGATTTTTTAAGAAGACAGAAGATGAATCAAGATTGCAAAAAGGAAAAACTATAGCGAGAATTGTAAGTTCTTGCTATAATTTTTCCTTTTCTTTGTTGTTACAGTGAAGTGAAAATTTGTTTTATAAAAATATCATGGATTTCTCAAGCGATGACTCTCTTGATGACCCCAATTACGCACCTGACGCATCTGGTGACTCAACTTCGGAGTACGATAGTGCAGATGAAGAGCCTTTATCCAGATGGAGAATCCATCACTCGACCAACAGACCAAGTTCAACTGGTTCAACCCAGAACTTTTCTGAAGATGAAATAGTTAGGCAGCAAGTTGCCAATATTGATTGGGGTATCCCCAAAGATCATATGCCTACTGAAGTCTTCTCAGGTGTGGCAGGCATGAAGGATATACATCAAGGAATTATGGCAGATGGTACACCACTTGATTATTTCGAGGTGTTTTTGAATTTTGATATAGTTCAAACGATAGTTGATCAAATTAACCATTACGCCTGCCAACATCTAACAGCAGGCAATATAGATGTTGGTCCACAATCAAGACTACATAATTGGAAACCTGTGACCATCAATGAAATGTATAAATTTCTAGCTCTCATTGGATGGATGGGGCTGGTGAAGCTACCTTGCATTCGTGAATACTGGAGGAAGCATAAGCTGTATGGACTACCACTGGCCAGAACAGTTATGCCACGTAAGAGCTTATCCTGAAATTCCTTCATTTCTCAGATAACGAACAAGACCCCGGCGATGACCGTTTGTATAAGCTAAGAACATTGATGGATAAGTTCATACATAATTTTCAAAACGTTTTCACACCTGGTAAAAAGATATGTATCGACGAAAGTCTGATCCCTTGGAGAGGGAGACTTATTATGAAGCAATACATCCCGAACAAACGCCACAAATATGGCATCAAATTGTTCAAACTATGTACAGACAGGGGGAATATGTCTGTATGGGGTAATACAGATACGTGGAATATGTCTGTCTATTGTGAAAAGACTCACGTGAATGCTCAAACAGATCAAGGTGCTGCTAAAAAGTTGTGATGAGCCTAGTAAAAGATCTACTAGATGAGAACAGAATTCTTTACACGGATAATTACTACACGAGTATCCCACTTGCCTATAGGCTCAAGCATAGAAAGACAAATTTGGTGGGCACGTTGAGACTCAATAGAAAGCATTTACCAAAAGATTTAGTCACACAAAAACTGAAGAAAGGAGAAATAATAGCGAAGGAAACGACAGACGGAAAAATTGGCGTGACGAAATGGAAAGATAAGAGACTCGTTACAACTTTGAGTACTGTTCATTCGGCGAAGAAAATGACAGCAGTAAAAACAAAAACAGGACAAGTTATTTTCAAACCGGACTCTGTTGTTGATTACAATACTGGCAAGTTCATCAATAGACGTCAGTGACCAAATTGCTTCATATGCATCAGCTTTGAGGCGATGTAACTAAATGGTACAGGAAGCTAGCAATGGAGTTTATTTGGGGTACGAGTTTGGTAAATGCCTACTTTCTTTATAATGAGTGTTCTCGAAACAAGAAAATTACTATAACGGAGTTTCGTGAAAAAGTTATCGAAGGAATGATTGATAAATTTGTGGATCAATCACCAGGAAACCAACCACCTTCAATCAGCATAGAAGCTGCTGGGAGCAGCAGAGGAGCTGCTGGAAGCAGCAAAGAAACTATTGGGTCCAGCAACAAGCATCTTTTGGTGAATTTCCTAGTTGGCAGACCGCCAACATTGAAGCGTGGCCGATGCAAAGGCTGCTATGCTATTTATGGGAAGAAGGGGATGGAAGTTAGTGGAAAGAGGAAGTATGCCACCCAAGTGCAAACTATTTGTAATATTTGCAAATCATTTTACTGCCGTAATTGTTTTAATCTAGCACATAAGTAACTTAAAATAATCTAGAATAACTACTAATACTACTACTACTAATAGTGAACGAAAATAAACAATGTCGATTTTTTGACATATTTTTTTTATTTTTAGACATTTTCCCAACCCAGAAATAGTGGCGTATTCTCCAGGGCCAGCCCTATCGCATCGCCTAATAAAGTGTTTGAAAACGTGTATACTTTTCTATACACCGGCCTCTGAATAAGATCGTGTCGGGTGTATCATTAAAGATACACCGGCCTGGGAGTAGAGGTACAATGGTGTATAGTTAAGTATACACCGGCGCTGAGTGTGTTAAAAATACTTTTAGGATTATAGAAAGTCGTAAGCCTGAAAAGTATGAAAATTTTAGTCTAAAATGCAACTTGTTACGAAATAATGTTCTTATATAGCACGCGGTCTATCGATTGAACGACATGTAATGTAACGTGCTACGAGATATAGCGTGCTGCAAAACTTAACGCGCTTGTTGGCTTCCTACATGCTTTATTATAAATAGCGCGCTATAAAATAGCGTATTTAAGCGCTAGAAATTTATAGTTTATAGTCTGCAGCGTGCTATTGATTTATATTGTTATTTTTATTAAGTTTTTTGGCTATATCTAAATAACAATAAAAAAACTGTTTGCTATTTAGAAATCGGCATAAATATTCTCGATAAATTGTGGGACCATTAGACAAAGAGAAAGATTTTCAGTATTGAAAACATTTTTATTTCACAATTTTAAACAAGATGATATTTTGAAAATAAAATAACACCAAAACGTGAGATGTTATAAAATTCCATGTTGTCTGCACATATGTAGAAAGTAACTACAAACCATTATAAAAATTACAGGGTTGAAATTAACATATTATTTTATAACTCTTTTATTACAGTAATGTCACTGCGCCAATTACAAATTCTACATTAAAGCACATTCTTGAGCCCTCTGTTTTGTGCTATACACAATCACTCACTCACGCCTGTCACCCAGAGGGGTAGGCAGAGACTACGGACTTCCATTTGGCACGATCCTGACATACCTCTTTCGCCTCCTTTACATACATATGTCTACGCATACATGCTCGTCGGTTAAGGGTACTTCTAACGTGGCCCATTTTCAAAATATCGCCAATTTGGTCCATAAACTTTTTTCTAGGGCGTCCCTTCCCGACTCGGCCATTCACATCTGCCATATAAATTTGCTTTGTCACTCTTTCCTCATTCATTCTTTCTACATGACCAAACCACCGAAGCATTCCTTTCTTAATCCTGGTCACAACATCATCTTGCATACCACATTTATCTCTTATCACGCAATTTTTCACCCTGTCATTCAAGTTCAACCCTAGTATATTCCTTAAAGTCCAATCAATTACGATAAAACACTCAAAAATATGAAATCGCAAGAAATAATTACATGCTACGTAGGTGGACATATTTCTTATTAATTTTTCTTTTCTATTTGATTAAGTCATGATCATCATCGTCATTACAGCCCTTCACAAGTCCACTGCTGAACATAGGCCTCCCCTAAGTAATGCCACAAAGCACGGTCCTGAGCCACCTGCATCCATCGACTTCCTGCATGTCTTACCAGGTCTCACTCTATCTAGTGGGGGGGGGGTCGCCCTACAGTATGCCTACCGGTACGAGGCTGCCACTCGAGAACCTTTCTTCCCCATCGGTTATCAGTTCTTTGAGCTATATGGCCGGCCCATTGCCACTTCAGCTTACTAATCCGTTGGGCTATGTCGGTCACTCTGGTTTTACTACGGATATCCTCATTTCTGAGTCTATCACGCAGAGAAACTCCGAGCATAGCCCTCTCCATAGCTCGCTGAGCGACCTTGGGCGTCCTCATACGGCCAGCAGTGAAGGACCACGTCTCAGATCCGTAAGTCATCACTGGCAACATGCACTGGTTGTACACTTTAGTTTTCAGAGATTGAGGTATACCTGACGAGAAGATGTGTCTTAATTTCCCGAACGCTGCCCAGCCGAGTTGAATCCGTCGATTGACCTCTCGGTCGATTAAGTGTTGCCTAATAAAACAAATCTTAAACATCTATTTCTTACTATTACTCCTTATAATATAAACCTTATGTTTGTAGCAAATATAAACTAACTTGAAATTAGAACTATGAAGGGATTTTTTTATTATTTATTATTTTGGAAGACAAAATCAATTAGTTTAGTAACACCGTTATGTTTTTAATGTTGTTAATAAATATAATAACATATAACAATAACTTAATTAATAGAATACGATTTTATTTTTAGAATTTCGTTTATACCTATCATTAGAATTATTACTAATAATGCTTGTTCTTTTGTGGCGGCCACACTATCTTAATTGATTTACAGTTTACATAAAGTAGCTAAAAATGCAAGATTCCAGAGCCGCTATAAATAAAAAAGTATTAAGTGTTTCATAAATCAATGACTAGATGGCGGTAGCTTAACCGATAGTGAAATTTCTTAAAAGATACAATTGCATGGCACGGCGGAGCGTCCAATTTACAATGCAACGCTAATTATAAAACCGATACATATTGTGGTCCACAAGAACAATCCTCGCGGACCATCCGCGTAGTTTTAAAACCAACCTTAAAATCACTTATTACTTTTCACAGGAGCGGTGCAGCTGTGTGCAAGTAACAATGGTACGGAACTTACTGCATGTCGGATTTATTATTAGGTTATATTTATGCTATGGAATATGTTGCATCTCAATTCAGTATAATCTTTATAGAGTGCCATTATGGCAAACACTCCCGAAAGTGCTTATAAATTCGACTATTTATTATACAAACACAAAAGTAGTTTTATACTGATGCAAAACTTCTATTTGTTTCTTACCTTACTAAAGGTTTAAGTTTGTCACTATAACTAATGTGTACCTTAATAATATACCTGAAAACCCTTAATGTGTAAATTTTATTACCATTTTTATTTACTATGTAGAGGCAGTACAGTTAAGAACTTTATCTATATAGTTCATAATCTTAAGAATAATTAAACATTATTGCCTAAGATTCAAATTATACTGTGTATTAATCCTAAATCCTACGGTAATAGTTAAAATGTTATATTGGACGAGGTGTTTAAGTTTTTTATTCTTTTTTATCAAAATTTTTGACTTTATGTAGCATTTGTAAATTACATTGCATCTAAAAAAAATTAGGGCAAAATTTTGTAATGCATACGAAACTTATCTTTCTATTTTAGATCAAAGACCACACATATTAATTAATATAGACATTTATTTACTGTTACCTTTTATTCATGTGCAATATTTTATAATTTGCTTATAAAAATTTACATAACTACTACCTATTTTAATAACTGAGGTTATTTTTCAAGATTTCGTTTTGTTCAATTGTAATATAAAATACCAGCTTATTATGTTTATAAATAAGAATTGTGTGATAATATGAGAAGGAAACTGAGTTGTTTTGTGTATATTGGAAAAACGAGACCAAATTTTGACAGAAATTGAATTGCGCTTTTATTTATGACATTATTCTTCCTTTGCAGTGAAATATTTTAAGTATAGAAAAGCTAAAAATTATCTTAATTTTTAATTTAGAACAAACTCTACAATGTTTGTGTCAGTATTTTCATTTAGAACCTTCATTATCATTTGTATATAATAGCAAACCCCTTTAAAACCTTTATTTGAATTAAATTCCAATTCCAAGCGAGGAATATTGGTGATTAGATGGAAAATTTATATTCATTTTAGGAAAATGTACAAAAATTTCCATTTGCTTATGTATATACGCGGCTAAAAGCCTAAGTGCGCATATATTTAGATTTAGCCGGCGTAAACCATATGCAACAATTGCGGTTGGTTAAGCTTAGGTATCTATACAATTTATTCGTGACTAAAACTAGTTTGGCCGATTACATTCCAACTGGGTCTAGTAAAGTCCGAATAATCATAAAATAACTATGACTTCTGTTAACTTTGTCAAAAATACGAAAATACCTATCAAGGTATGAAGCGGATATAGAGCGACTGGGGTGGCTCGACTTTTGTTCTGATCTGGTATTACCAAACCATAAATTAACCAAATATACCTAAATTTAACCAACCGCATTTGGTCGCACTTCAGCTTTTAGCAGTAACATAAACATATTTCATTGGCCTTGTTTAGATTATTTTGTATTTGTTTATTATTTAAAAATTGTTTGGAGACAATTTATTTTAATTATACCCACAATTCTCTATATACCAACAAACTTGAGAAGGCCTATGGAATGGTTTTGCGCAATGAGAATAGAATTTGATGGTTTTAATAAAGTCATTAAATTTTCATGGGCATATTTGGAACTAAAAAAGGACTGCTTGCGAGGTAACTGGAAGACATGATTATTAAAATAAATTATATAAATTTAGCACATTGTAATAATAAAGTAAAATTATTATATAAGATTACATTATGCAAACATTTGTAAGGCGTAATTCATGAAAGTAAATGTTTAAAAAAAATGTGATGAATTATTGAAATCCACTT